TTCCCCTTCCCTTCAATTTTTTGTCAACTAAACAAGAAAATTTCTCCCCTTCCCTATCTCACCCTTCAAACCAAACAAGTTGCTAAAAAGAAGCGTCATAAAATTACAAGAAATCTAAGGTAGTGGCGTGATTATCTCTCTTTGTGTCATTAATTTAAACTTGAATTGACTTTGCTAATAACAATGTTTAAAATTATGCCTACCCATCAAGTGGTCGTTTAATGAGATTGATTTATTTTAAAAAATAATAGTTTTACAGCCTATCCTATATAAAATGTACATTTTATATCATTGAAGAAGAGAGAACTACTCTAACATCGGGGACCATCCCTTCATAGTAACCATAAAATGCGTTAAATGCCTATACAAAGGGTTTTTTTTTTTTTTTCTTTTGATAGGCAGCCAATGTCTAAAGTTTGATTAACACATAGGATTGAAAAGTCGAATAAAGATTAAAAAAAAAAAAAAGAATTAATTAAGAAGGACATACTACATGGTTTGGAGAAACCAATGTTGTACTAAATAATTATAATATCGTACCTCCTGTAAAAGGACGCTGTAATAATTTATTAGTTAGAGTATTATATTTACGTAGCCCTAAAGTTCCTACATAATCCATATAAATGCTAGGAACTAGAAATATCTCAATGTCAATGGTAAGTACCGTCTTAGATTTGATCATCAGTCTTTGTCTTTGCTCTTTCTTTGAAGTAAAATTTTACTCCACATTGCCCCACCAAGCTCCAACAGGACTTTAACACAAAACTCATATCCTGAAGCTTTAGATTTCGACGTACAATTGAGGGTTTTTTTTTTTTTTTTTTTTGATTCCTTATAACAATTGCTTATGTAGTTTTCATATAAAATTAAAAATAAAAATAAAGAGTGTTATCAATATATATCACAATGGTGGTTTTTTAATTAAAAATAAATAGTTTTACATTTTTAACCTAATTTTAATAAAAAATGACAATTATTTTGAAAATTATGAAGACAAGTTAGAGAATTTTGTTGTTAATTTTTTGAACACATTACAATATGAGAGAATGGGATTCGAACCCTATGTGCCTGGTAATTGTACCCTTATCCAAGAGGTTTTAGATTCCGGGTGAATTTTGTTGTTAGAATTTTCTATTCTATGCTCTTAAGGTATAAGATGAGAATTATAAAGGCACTCTTCTATGATTAATATATATAGAAAATGATAAAAGTGAATTTGAATTTAATTAATTGATTAATTAAAATTATTCACGTAACAATAAAACTAAAATAAAAGTTAATTTTTATTATCTTTTATATAAATTAATTATAAAAAATATATATTTATCATATTTTAACATGTGCCTTAACAAACCCTTTGTTATTATTGACTGATTTTTTGATATTTATAGTTAATGTGTTTTTGTATTAATTTTTGTGTAAGGTTAATATTTTCTTGAAAAATCGACGTATCTTTCAGATCAATTTGATATATTCAAAAAAATTAATTTTTTAAAATATTAATTTCAAAATTTAAGTCCACCCATAAGAAAATTATTGACTTTTATGAAATTGTGAAATTATATTATTAGCACGACTTTAGTTGTTCGGTGGGTCTTCCTCAAGAATAATAATGGAAGAAACCCTTTTCACACTTCAAATTCTCTTTTAAGTTTGAACAAGGCAAATTGAAAGTTTTGAGCCTCATGAAAACACAAGGCAAGAGAAGAGCCCCTTCGCCTTCGCAATATTCTAGATTGAGAATCTTGAATGCGATTGTGACTCGTGAAAGCTAGACGTGCACTCCTTGGGAGGAAAGAATTAAAATTTAATGTTTAGTTACAAACTATTTGCTTGCTATCACTTTCATTTGAAAATTTTAATTTCTCTCAAATTAGTCCAGAAATTATCTTTCTTTTTACCTGGGAAAAATTATCATCAATCTAATATTTAATAAAAGAGGTTACGTTGTTACCTGACATTCTCCACCCCCATATAGAGACAACTTAGAAGTCTATAACTCTCATCTATATTATGATTGATAAATCTATTAAAATATAAAATAATTCGAATAATAGATACAATTAGTAAAAAACAATTAGAAAAAAATTTCAAACCATACCTAACCTCTAACCTCTCAGGTGTTAGTTATACTACTAAAATACGCCTGACAATGATTGCTTTTTTACCATATATTTATGCAAATCCTTCCCACCATCTTTCCAAATTATAGTAAAACCTCCATTACAAAGGAAACTCGAAATAACCACACTAAATCAAATCCCTTTAGTTTTGCCTCAATAAGGTTGTACTTGAACACCAACAGAAACATTTTTTATGTTTTGACACCTCCATTATATATCTACAAATTAAGAACCAAATGCATAATGCTTCTTTGCAAAGAAAGGCCTCCTAAGAACAATTGAGAACAATTTTCACTAGTCTTAGATTCTACCTCCCATGGAGTCAAAGATGCCTGAACCTATCTTAAACTAAATCTATTTCTACACAAACTTCCACAGAGGATTCTAATTAATCCTGAGGACAAAAAAAGAAAGAGCGGAAACAACCTTTCACAGTTAAACAAGCAACCAAAAATAGCAAGTCTTTCACAAACCAAGACTGCATCGAGCTACCCACAGCAGACATGAACAGACTATCTTAATTTTTTTTTTAATGAAAAAGCCTTTAGATTAATTTGGGAGACAATAAACTTTATAAACCAAAATGATAACTCATCAATAATTAATATAACAAACATAAAAGTAGAAAGTAAGAGAATTAAGCCAATCCCTTTTTGTTTTAATATTTTGATTCTTGAAAGAAAAATAGCATACTTAGTTATTAATGAAGTTTTTAACTATTAAATTAAGTGTAGGTTGAGGGAAATGAAGTGTAGAGGAGTGGAGGTGAGAAAAATGAGAGGAAGAAAAATAAAGGAAATATACACACATTATTTTCATAGAAAAGAAAATGATATGAAATATTACCTCCCCCATAATTTCTCTTCTCAACTATTTTTTTATCAATAAATAAACTTAATTATTTGTGTACGAGCGGCACCCAATACATTACAGTTAGCTCTACTTTGTTAATCAATTTACAATTGTCAGGAAATAAAGAATACTTTTTCCTTTCTTCCCTTGTGCATGAAATGAATGTTGCTCCTCACACCTAAGGATGAAAGAAAATGCTATTTTTTTAATATGTTTTAAATTAACTTGAGGAGGATTATGCATGATTCAAATTCTCAAAGATAAGGGGTTTAAACACTTTTATTTGTTAGCACTTGGCCTTTTTGTCCCAATAGTTATAAGTCATGTTGTATGTGTATTTCTAATCCAAGAACAGAGTTTCAAATCCTCATTTTTAAAGTTGTAACTTATTAAAAAAAAAGAAAAAAAAAACACTTTTAATTATTTAAATAGTAAACATTCGATATTTTAAAGAAGATAAGCACACGGTGCTAATTTTTAAGAGAAGTGTGAGGAAGAAAATATATTTAAGAATTCAAGAAAATTGAGATTAAATTAAAGAGAAAGTAAGTGTCGGCCAACAAATGGGCAAGTAAGTAAAATGGTGACTAGGTCACTAGACAAGAAGACAAGTGTTCCATAAACAATGAAAACATTGGTTTGTGTAGGAGAATGAAAACAAGAAAATGTGGGAAAGGCAGGCTCTTGAGATGCTAAGTTGAGTAATCCAACAAGCCCAAAAAAAGGTGGCTTGGGGGAGGGAAATTTGAGGAGAAGATGATGTTGTTTCTTTTAAGTGAAGCAATAAAGAAAGAAAGAGAAAGCAAAAAAAAGCTGTAAGGAGGTCATTTTCAAAAGCTGTGATGGTGGCAAGGCATAAAGAGTATCTATCCCTCCATCCTACTATCAAACAATCCAATTCAACCATAACCAACACTTTTACCTTCTAACCAAGAAGTTAGAAACATAGAAACATTTTCAATAGAATTTTTGTATTGACTATTCATTAATGAGATTGTATTTAATTTCTTTAACAATAACTAGACAGCTCACTTCCTTAATTGATAAAAAAAAATATTGTTAACAATATTATTTTTATCTTTAATAAAATGTTTCTATTCCTTAATTAATTAAAAGTGAGGAAAATGGCTGAAATTGACATTTCTTTTGCCGGTCTGAATTGGCAATCGTATTTCTCTAAAAGAATTTAAAAAATATATTAGTAACTTAAGTTCTTAGATGATAAGGTTTTTTTTTTAATAAAAAATTTTAAATTTAAAACACATGAAAAATGTCGTAAATCAATAAACGAAATTTTGCATTTGAGCAACTCTCGTGGGACTTTAGACATAGATTACCCACCATTGTGTTTTCCTAAATTTAGGAGGGAGAGAAATGTTCCAGTTATTTTTTTCTTTTTACCTTCTTATTTTTTGGGTAAGTATAAGGTTGATTTTTCTTTTGGTTCGTGCAACTTTCGAGAGTGTTTGTTGGTTCTATGCATTGAAAAGGAGAATCTTTATTGATAGATTAAGTAAAGTAATATAAATTATAAACTTTAATGAGTTTAAAATAATTCTTATATTTTTATTAATTTTATTTTGTTTATAAAAAATATAAATTATGATAACATGATATAAAAATATTTTCAAGTGTGTCTACCATATGCAATTCTGCCATGCCACCACCTAAAGTAAAAAAAAAAGTTAAAAAAATGGTAAAAGGGGGTTTTATTTTGGTTGAATGAGGAGTTTTTCTTTATTAAAAAATTATGGGTTTCTCACACTTTTAGATGGTGTAATTTTTGTTTGTTTAGTAAAAGGGAGCAGTACAAAGAACAGCAGAAGATGCAGTGATGATATCACAGATATCTTTAATCTCTTCTCTGACCAAACACTGCCACCTTTGCAAGTGGCATCATCATCATCATCAAGGACTGCTCCCATAGGTCAAGAAAGTTGTATTCTTTTTTATCTCCTTTCTCTGCTTCCTCTACTTCCCCTCTTAGTCCTTATATATTTCCCACTTCCTCCACCACCTCTGTTTCCCCCACTGTTCCTTTCTACAAGAAATATGAGAAAAAAACCCATCTTGAGTTTTTATCTTTTTTGGTGTTTCTGATTACTTTTGGGTTGTTTGGTCAAGTGGGTATAAAACTGTGTTCAGTGTTTTACCCAAATCAATAGCACATAAAAAGGCCCAATTGGCAAAGGGGAAAGGAAGGAAAAGAGAGAGAAAGGAAAGGAAAGAGATGGGTTAGGGGTTTGTAGGGTTTCTTGGGGAATTCCAGATTTTTTTTTCTTTTCTTTGGGGGGAAGGGATGGAATTGGGAACATTGAAGGGCAGGGCCTTTTGGGAGAGGCAGAGATATCAGGTATCAGTGTGGTGGCAGCAGCACAGTCAGGAACAGGAAATCAGGAAGCAGGGACAGAGTAAAGAGCCAACAACCCATTAACAGGAAAAAGTGTTCTCCATTAAAAGCTGGAACAGGAAAAGCAAAAGGGCTGGAGTCTGGATCCCCAAAGGAATCATCTTCATCGTCATCCTCAGCAGCACCATCAAACCCTGGTTCTAAATTCAAGAGAAGGAGGAGAAGGAGAAGAAGAAGAAGACCCACAAAAGCAGTTGTTTTTTCAAGGTCAGCAACAGCAGGACCAGTATTTGTATGCAAGATTGGGAGAGACTCAACTGTTGCAGCAACCAACACCGGCGGCAGCAGCTCCGAGGAAACGGTCTTACTTTCCATCTTCTTCTTCAACTTTTGGGCAGCAAGGAACCGAATATGCGAGAAAAATGGGGGAGAGTCACCGCCAAGCTGCAACATCGTCAAGATTGGGGATAAGGCACGCCGCCGGCGAGATCGTGGAGGTCCAAGGAGGGCACATTGTTCGATCGACGGGGAGGAAAGACCGCCACAGCAAGGTCTGTACCGCAAAGGGTCCGAGGGACCGGCGCGTCCGGCTATCGGCTCACACCGCTATACAGTTCTACGACGTCCAGGACCGTCTCGGGTATGACCGACCCAGTAAGGCAGTCGATTGGCTCATCAAGAAAGCCAAACCCGCCATTGATGAGCTCGCCGAGCTGCCTCCGTGGAACCCAGAAACAGTGACGAACACTGTCCGGACTCAATCGAATAATCAGCAGCAACCCACGACGAGCAATGAGAAGGATTATCAGTTTCAAATCCACCAAGGTAACGTTATTGAGAATCTCGCTGCAGGTTCAGGAAGCAGCCGGAGGACGGCTACGATAGTGGGGAGTGAAGTTCAGAATCTTCAACAAGGGGAAATGGGTGAAAATCCGAACTTCCTCCCGCCGTCTTTAGATTCTGATACAATCGCCGACACAATCAAGTCATTCTTCCCAATGGGTGCGTCAACGGAGACGCCGTCGTCTTCAATACAGTTTCAGAGTTACCCACCAGATTTGCTGTCAAGAACCAGTAGCCAGAGCCAAGATCTGCGCCTTTCGCTGCACTCATTTCCGGAGCCGATTCTTCTGCGCCAACAAGCTCCGACTCAGACGCACCAGAGTGAGCCGGTGCTGTTCTCCGGAAGCACCCCACTAGGGGGCTTTGATGGGTCCTCTGCTGGATGGGAGCACCACCCACATCCGGCAGAGATTGCCCGTTTCCAGAGAATGGTGACCTGGAACACTGCTGGTGCAGAAACTGGTAGTGGAAGTGGCGGCGGCGGTGGTGGAGGACTAATCTTCGGTTCTCCACACCCGCAGTCGCTGCAGCCTTTTTTCGGCCACAACAACCAGTTGTTTTCTCAGAGGGGACCCCTTCAGTCCAGTAACACGCCCTTGATTCGTGGTTGGATAGATCAGCCAATTACCGCCACCACCGATCACCACCACCACCACCACCATCAAATTCCACATACCATTCATCACCAACCTGCGATTTCCAATATCGGATTTGCCTCTTCTGGTGAATTCTCTGGATTTCGCATTCCAGCACGAATTCAGGGCGAAGAAGAGGAGCACGACGGCATGCACCATAAGCCGTCCTCTGCTTCCTCTGACTCTCGCCATTGATTGAACAATGAAAAAGCCAAAGTCTTTTCCCTCTATCATGGTAGAAACCCATAAATTCATTGATTTTCAATCTTATTTCCTATTTTAAGATCATTTTGCACTTACAAGATGCCGATTTATGCATGTCTTCTTTCAGGGTTTACAATTATTCAACACAAAATTGACGAGGAGATGATGGAAAATTGTTTCTTGACTGCTTTGAGGATATATTTTGGTGACTTGGAATCAATGGCCAATAACGCGGGAAGAAATCTGGATGGATTTCAGGTTTTCCGATCCCGGGTTTGTTTAGTTTTTATGATTTCAATTGATTGTACTGTTGTTGTTCTTGTATCTTCATGCTTGAGTGAGCTGCTAGAGCTGAACTTTGCTTGATGAATTTGCTATGTATTTCGTGTTGCTAGACTTTGAATGCCATGAGTGTGTGTTTGGTGTTATTGCTGCTGTTGGTAGGATTTCTATTAAGAGCAAAGCTAGTTTTTTATAACCCAAATTTGATGCTTCATCCAATTAGAACAGACGTGATAAGCAGAATCCGACATTCTTTTGAAAATTCTTAGCATTTTTCAGCTATTCACTGTACCATGTGTCTTTTATCTAGTAGAAAATGAGATTAGCAAATTTAGAGGCTCTCACTCTGGTTAGAAAAGGGTCAATTTCTCACTGTAGACGGAAAAAGAGACTTTATATGTGTGATTGCTTTGTTGCTTTACTGCCCTCGTTATGGAACAGTTTGTGCTACAAAAACTTACTTAGGCCTGCAGAGGGAATTGAAAGGATGACCAATTGACATCTCTATCGTTGCTCAGTGATTTCGGGGCATGGAAAGAGAGGTCATTTTCTATGAACTGTAGGATTTCTAGTGTGGGCGTGGAGTAGCTAGATTGGTTATCATGGTAGTTGATTTAAGCCAAAAATTCACCCAAAAAGATTGACCTTCAAACGTTAATATCCCATTTTTTACCGTCAGTTACTCCATTATGCTTTGCCTTTTAACTTTTTAGGCTTCATAATTGGCCAAAACTTGAATGCTGAAACCAGACAGCTCAGTGGCATTAAAGTAAACACTGAACAAAGGGTAGAGCTTTACAGCCGTAGCTTTACAACCCAAGTTACCATACTTAGTTGAAGTTGAATGCCATCTTTTACCAAAAAAGAGCAATCAATCAATCACTTCATTCACTACGTTTGAAACTTTAGTTGCTAGAATTAGGACAAACAATGTATGTTTAGTCTCCCTCAGTTTCTAGTTACTTTTTTGTTCTGACTTTTGTGCATGTAACTTTAGGTTATACTTTTACATAACATATGAGATACAATTAAAATTTTTTTTATCAAATGAAATTACCTAATAAGTATTAGTCCTGGAGCATGTTCAAAAAAAAAAAAAAGAATAAGCCCGGAAAAAAAAAAAATCAATTATCATTCATATTCCATGTAAAAGTATCATTTAAAATTATGTGAAAAGTTAGCTATATGAACAAATAAATAGGAACATGTCAATTTTTAATTGTCACAGTTCCTACAAAAGTATATCCACATTTAGTTGTTACACTTTTTAACCAGGTTAAGATATAGATTAAATAAACCCAAACGAAATAAGAGTAGGTTTCACAAACTACTCCAAGTTGTGCCCCCCATGTTAAAGGTGCAATTAATGCACTTTTTGGCATTAAGTTACATAGAAAGATACAAAGGCTATTATGTGGATATTTTGGATATTTTAATTAAAGTTTTTTAACTTGTATCTTAAATTCTTAATATTGTAATAAATATATATTTTTATCATAAATTTGTATTGAAGAAAGTAAAGTTTGACTCAATTTATCAATTATTTAATTAAATTTATTTACATAACAATGATATTAGAATTATCAATTCTTACATTTTTCTATATAAATTTATTAACTTATACCTTAAAATATAAGAGAACCCTTTTTATTGAACAATGGATAAAATAAAGCTCAATTGTTATCCTTTCAATACTAATTAATATAAAAAAATGCATTGTGAACTACACTTTAACTTTTAGAAAAACACTTAAAAGAGTTAATGATTGTTTTTTTTTTTTTCAACTTTTTGTAAAAATTTTCTTTTAATGTACTTGCCTACTACACTGAAATAAAAAATGGACACAGGGTAGTATTTGTGAAAATGATGGTTTTGAATTTTATGTCCTGAAGGCATACTTTGACATTAAGGTCAGGTTGTGGAGGAAACTTGGGTAATTTTCTGAAATCAATGATCATGTTAGATGAATTTAGTAAATTGACTTAGGTGGGGCTGGGGGAAATACATCTGCAGGAGGGAACCATGAAAGGGGAATGGAGAAAAACTCAAGAAGCAGGCTTAAATCATGGGAGAATAGGAAGATGAGAGAATTTGTAGATGGGATACATCCAACATTTTTGGCACTTTTCCCATCTGTAAGTGGTCCCCCAATGCCTACCCTGTTAAATCCCGGTTGTCAATAAAAATCTAGTAGCCCTAGCAGCTGGCAACTTTTATTCCCTTTATATGAGGGTAAACAAATTTACACATAAAAAGGGAAAAAAAAAAAAAAAGATAAAAGCAAAAAAAAGGAGAGATATTATATTTGCCAACAGCTTAAGCAGCCTAATTATAATCTCTCTTGTAAGTGGAGCAAGAGATCTTAGGTTCAATTCATAGGCATGCGGGTTGGGTGGGTAAAAGTATGGGAAAGGGTTGCCAATAACCTTGTTAAATCCCAGTTGTTAATGAAAGTCTAGTAACAAATTTACACAAAAAAAAAAAAGAGTGGGAGAATATATTATATATGCTAACGACTTAAGTACTTTATGGCATTTGGGTAATAATCTTTTGTATATAAGTGGAGCAAGAGATGTTAGGTTTGATTGATAGGCATTTGGGTTTGATGGGTAAAGGTATGGAAAAAGGTTGTTATTTATTATGCAACTCAAACTAAAAATAAAATAAAATAAGAAGAAAAAGATATTAAATATATTGAATATTTGAAAATGACATATAACAAGCGGGGAAAAAGAAAAATCAGAACGTCTTAACATTCAATAATAGTCCTAACATTCAATAATAGTCACATAATGAATTTGATAAAATTAAGGTTTATATTATATTTCATATATTTAATTGTTGTAGTTGAATATCTTATTATTTTAAATGTTATGACATCTTAGATTTTTTTTTTTCTCTAAAGTTTCAAATCCTTAAAAATTATAAAATGGGAAAAAAGCTTTCTTGGACATCCTTAAGGCTTCACTCCATCAGATGGGGCAACCTTTTTGGGTTTAGGAACAGCAACCTTCCCATTCGACAAAGGAGATTTAACTGTTTTCTCTAGCTCTCTTCCCTGCTTTTCATTAACCTTCTTCGGGTGGCTGCCCTGAGATGGAACCCTGACCTCCCATGGCCGAGCCGATATCCATCTTTCCTTCCAACTCCATCCCCAATTTTCTCTTCCCACACCAAAGGAGGCTTGCCCCAGATATTGGCTTGCATTTGCCCTCCACTGCAAATTATACAAAAACTACTTGTTTAAGCCATGGAAGCACGTTAAAACATGAGAAAATCTTATCGTTTTTCATGGTTCAGAGACCTGACCTGATGAGAGAAGGCATAAGCCATGGCTCTCTCGCGCTTCACAGTTGCTTCTTCCCTCTGTTGAATCCTAGAAAGACTTTGCTCCATGGTTTCAGAGCCGCCTCGCCATTCCCCCTGAAGATTGAAACTTCTCATTCAGTTTCTAATAATCCAAACAAAAATAAGCTGCCGAAGTCAATGGGTCACAAGAGTGGAGTAGGTGATTATAAATACCTCCAGCCCATTAGGCTTAGTCCCCAGTTTCATTTGATTTGTCAATTTCCTTTGCGTAGTCCAGCCTTCTGTGACCATACACAGCCGGCGAGCTCTGATCTGGGACTGAATATTGTACCATGAATGCAAGTGGCTTAAAGTTGAAGATGTTTGCTTCTCAATTGGATGCCTTTGGATCAACACATTGAACCTTCTCAGAGCCTTCAATCTCCTAGATGCCCTCTTTGCCTGGAAAAACAAGATGTTAAGATATTACCAGTTAGGATAAGCAGCAGAAATTATTTGAGTTTACATAATTTGTTATGCAGAGAAAAATTGTACCATGTATGCTCGGAAAGCTGTCTGAATCCTAATAGCAGCTATGTGTTCAGGATTGCCACCATTGTCATGCTGCTTTACTTGTTTGGATCGGCCATTCTTCACTTTCTTTAGGCAAAATAATGATCTGAACCAGTCTCCAGCACCCATTTAGACAACTTGTAGTATAGAACATCAGCTAACAAAAACCTGGTACAAGAAAATCCATGTTGATTACATTAGTGCTTAGTGCGTTTGGCATTGCTTTTCCAGCGCTTTTCCGCACAATCATGCTCATGCGATACTAAAAATGTTAAGAAGTTCTGGAGCAGGGAAAAGGAGATAAGAAGTTGTGGCAGAATCCAAGAGGGTGCAAAACATATAGAAGAAAAAAGAGATTGTTGAGAAGGTGAATGGTTGATATTGTTTAACCTTGACAACTCAACTAGAATCATACTGCTTTCTGATCTTTCTGGAGGATCGAGAGTCAATGTCCAGGAAGGTTGGGTTGAAGAATCAGGATTTAAAATGTCACCATTTTCATATCATAAAATAAAGAATCTCTGGGTCCCTTCTGGTAGAGGATGGTGAGAAGATTTGGTACAATGGGACTATTGGTTTTAAAATTTTAGTTTTTTTTTTTTTTTTTTGTTGGGTGGAAATGCAAAAAGTGAAAATTTGATTCCATAGAGGACTGAACCCTTTTCGTCTTGCTCTAATTAACTAAGATATAGTATCATTTTTTTTTATAATAAAAATGTTGAATTTATAGATATAAGTTCACGATTTTTCTATTATTGATAACAAATTCTAACAAGTAACAACATGAGTTAAAGACTGGTGTTTTCTAGCCAAGGCCCATACTGGAAAACTGCATCACCTAGTCAAAAACAGTAATATGTGCTTGACCCATAATCAACAACAGGATCACCCAGACTCTTTAAATCCAATATCTGCTTCTTCAGGGCTTGGTTAAAGACCCAAATACTAAGAGTTACCCACTACTTACCCAAGTACCAAGTTACTAGATTGACCCAAAACAACAAAACCGTCCTTTTTTTTTTTTCCTTCTTATTTTATCTTGGTAGGTTACATAATAAAAGATGATTCTTTTTCATCCTTTTAACTCATTCATTGTATGACGAATGTTATGAGACTAAAACCATAACCTTTTACTTCTTTTAAAAAAGGATTACCATTAAGCTACTTTATTTTATAACAGCTGAAAATGGGCATAATAAAACCATCCTTGTTATTCTAGGACAATGGCAAATTAAGTAGAAATCACTATAAAATGAGATAATTAATAAATGTGACCACATCTAGAGCCAGAAATTTTAACATGTTAAAATCAATGAAGAAACCATTTCATCACGTACATCAAATATTAATTATCAGTATCACAATCAAAATATGAGACCACATTAACACCTTGCTTAGGTTTTAAGCCCTCATCCTCTAAAATTATTATTGCTATAAAAGTACTCCAAGGTCACAGTTGCTGTTTCCATCAAAATAACAATGAATGCAAGAGAGTGAAAAAACAAGAAGGGAGAGTGGTGAAAGAGAATTTAGTGATTGATGGGGTCCTTACATTTTGTATATCTAACAAATTCTGGGCATCTTGTGTTGGATGGTGTCATGTGGGATACCCCACTGTGGAAACGGTTGGGTTTATTAAAGACAAAACAAGTTGGAATGTGTTATGGATGGTTTGTTGTGGGGAAGGTGGGCCAAGTTTGGAAGGGTAGAGATAGCATTGCTCATTGGCATAAACAAGATCTAGAAGTTACAAATCTCAAGCCCTGTTGAATTTGTTCTCCTATCTTGTTCAATGGGGTTTGATTCTTAAAACAACCAATAAGATAAATTTTTATGAATTTTTTAATTTTTGCATAAATGTCTTGGATTTAATTAGAATGGAATGGTGCATTTATTATGATGCACGAAAATTAGGCTATAATACAACATGGGAACTATATATATATATAAAAGAATTAGTGCTTTTTTACATTACTTTTTAAAAATTAAGAAAAAAATTATTTTAAAATTATGTTGTTTTGATGAAATACTATAAAAAAAATAAAAAAATAATCGAATTTATATTTAAAAAATAAAGTATTTAGTTTTTTCAATGAGAATTTATTTAAAACAACATAGTTATAAAGTGATTTTCTTTTTAATTTTTAAGAGATAAGATTGATGAACATTTTATATATATATATATATATATAATTATTTATAGGTTAAATGCTTAATTTGGTCCATTAACTTTAAGAAATGAACATTTTTGGTCCCTCAACAATTTTTTGCACTTTTTTGATCCCTCAACTATACGAAATGCACTCCGTTAGTCCTTCTGTTAATTTGAGCCATTAACCTTGCTTAGGTGGCATTTTTTATATTTTTTTTGATGATGTGGAGAGCAAAACTTAAAAAAGTGATGACATACATAAAACTTTTGCTATGTCACATGCTACCTAGCAAAAACGCACCAAATCCATCCAAATGGGTTCCACATCACCACTAACAATTGCTCCTTTGGCCATGGATTACTGTTTCTATTCTTGTCGATGTTTTTTCCATTTTCAAGATTGAAGTTCGATAGGGTGTTCTTTCCATTTTCAAGATTGAAGTTTGACAGAACTCAGCTCGATTCATTTCTTTCCATTTTCAAGATTGAAGTTTGACAGAACCCAGTTCGATTCGTTGAACTCAATTGTCCAAAAATCTCTCCCAACAACCTGTAATTTGGAAATCTCTTGGCAAACAATCATATAACAAAAAAAAAAACTAGTTACCCAAAAATCCCTCACGGCAAACAATCATATAAACCAAAAAAAAAAAAAAAAAAAAAATTACAAGGATTCTATTGAGAGGGAGGAAGGAGAAGAAGATGATTACAAGGGCATTAAAACTTCTTACATGAATGAACT